TGATTTTCCCTCTCTGGAACCTTACTGGAGTCGACCGGATGCTGCCTCTCGTTCCGGTCACTTCACCTCTCATCGTCCGGTCGCATCAGACGATATCACCTTGGTCAAATGAACTGATCGGACCATGAGCCAGTGTCCGGTCACACCGGAGCCTACGTCTGGTCAGTTTTTGACCCTCCATTCACTTCCAACTCTCGATCATATGTGAATGAAGTTTGCTCCATTGGATCTAAGGGCTGTTTTGGAGCTACCTAGTGCTAGTTTTAACAAGTGTGCACCACACCTAACTCACTAGACTCACCTAGGTCAAGCTACCCGTCCATACCCCCCTTAATAGTACGGCCAAAGGAAAAACTAAGTCCTAAACTAGTCTAAGTGTCTCTTCAACTCCAAACGACACTTAGAACTAGTCCATCCTTAACCTTGTCGTCCATCCTTTGAAAACCGAAATGATTTCCATCGTAAGGGGCATGACCACCATGATTGCCCAATCGATCTCCATTACCATGACCTAACTTAATTGTCTCTATAAAACACACATTAGTCATAGTAATCATGTATTGTCATTAATCACCGAAACCAAACTAGGGGCCTAGATGCTTTCACTTCTCATTTTCTTTAAATCCAAACTTTCTTATCGTTTTATCAACTTCAAATACTACTATCTAGAGACTTGTTTTCACCCATAAATGGATTTCTACAGGCGGCATAAACGCTATTGTCCTTTTTATTTTCTTTAAACCCAAACTTTCTTATCGTTTCATCATCTTCAAATACTACTGTCTAGAGACTTGTTTTAACCCATAAATGGATTTATACAGGCGGCATCTGATACGTTCTTTTTCTTCCACGACAAACCCTTTGGGTTGTGCCATGTAAACATTTTCATACAAATCCCTATTGAGGAATGCCGTCTTTACATCCATCTGATGTAACTCTAAATCGTAATGTGCTAATAATACCATTATGATTCTAAAAGAATCCTTGCATGAGACTGGAGAGAAAACTCTCATCGTAATATGTTCATTCTCGTTGCGTAAAGTCTTTTGCTATAAGTCATGCTTTATATCTTTCCATATTCCCTTTGGAGTCACATTTTGTCTTGTAGACCCTTTTCACAGCCTACTATTTTGGCTCCATTAGAAATTTCTTCTAAGTCCCAAACATCGCTGGTATTCATCGAATTCATTTAAACTTCCATAGATTCTTGACATTCAAACAAGTAAACGCTTCTCATGACTTCTTCAAATGAGGCAGGATCACCCTCTATTTGAATTTCTTCACTAACATAGACTTTATAGTCGTTAGAAAACTAGTTTACTAATTCTTTGAGACCTTCTAGGGACCTTAGCTACTGGCACTTTCATGTGGGGCTGTTGTTGCTCTTCATTGCCAAGAGGCAATTGATTCTACAGGCTCTTGTATCATAAGATCCTTGTTTATATTATTCATCTTCTTCGAAGAGCCAACAACAGGTGTGGTATAAGTCATACAACATCAACAGGTATCGAGAAATTCGTTGTTTTGAATCACTGAAGTGGGCACGTAGTCCCTCTTCTCTTTAAGTCATAGGTCTCTACATGCCGTGTGCTCCCCCAGATCGTCCCATCTTTTATAAAGATAGTGTATCTTCCAATTTCTTAGTTGGGTTCAATCTGTTAAAACCTTATATGGCGCTTTAAGCACCGCTTTAATATCTTTGATGGTGACTACGCTATCTTTCTCTCGAAACTTTAAAAAAAATCAGGAATTTAGCTATTTCTCTGTTTAGGGGTATCATTGTTATGACCGACGATCACATTCATCAAAATCTTTATCTCACTCAGTTTCTTACAAAATCTGTATCTCACTCTTAATGAAGAGTACACATTCATCAACATCTTTATCTCACTCTTAATGAAGAGTAGTTTCTTAATTGATCTTAATTCTTACTCTTAATTCATCTCATAATTCTCCCCCTCAAAATATGGCATGAACTATACTACCATAATTTCGAGAACTATTCAGAAAACTATGAATGAGGAGACACTTATGACTTACTTCATTCACATGATTATGCCATACAAATAAAGTTATTTCTTGATCCGTATAGGAGTACACTTTCCTCATTTCACTTTAAGAACTCGACGAGGTCTTTTATTAACTATACTTTTGCAAGTCACGCTTGCATCTTTTTCTTGTCCTTTGATTAGTATTGACCATGACGGTGCATTTCTATTATGCCATGGTCAATACTAAGATGGCATAAGAGCTACCTAAACTTCTCTCGCTATGCGGGATACAAAAACATATGAGTCATCACAAAACTTCTCCCGCCATGTAGGATTGACTAGCATAAGTACTATGCCAAACTTCTCCCCATGCGAGATAAATCTATATACAAATTACCGTAACGAAAAATTTAGTCATGATGACTAAAATATTCATTTAGACTTCATTTTCCAATTAAATATTCTCGTTGGTTCTAATTTAATCAGAAAATTAGTAAACTAACAAAAATTTATCCTGAACCGGCTTGATATACCTCAGCATTGCAGCCCGTTGGCATGCAGCCGAGTGATCTCATCGGTTAAAAAATAAAACTTACAAGATGCTTCTACATCATCGTTGGGCAGAAAATAGAATTAATGCATAAAACTCATAAATTAACTTGAAAGACATATAACTACTCTTCAAAATTAAATTCTCCCGTTGGTTCGAATTTAATTAGAAGATAATCAACATCATTGCAGCGAAACACGATAATAAAATACATTCTATTAGTTCAGGAGCATTTCTTGATCTTTATCTACTCTATGAAAAATTGACCACGTTGGTGTAAAATTTATCAGAGATTTAAACTTCAACCTTAAACTCATTATAATATTGCTATCATCAACGTTGGTCAGAAAACAACAATAGCATATTTTAACATAAACAGATCGGACTATTTCTCTAATTTAAATTTTCCGTTGGTTTCAATTTAATTAGAGGATAAACATATTCATAATTTACTAAAAATAACTGCTCTTCAAATTAAATTCTCCTATTGATTTGAATTTAATTAGAACATAATCACCATTAAACTTTGTAGCGGAAACATGAAATAAAAAATTGTTTATCTACTTTTCAGAAGCATTTTACTGTACAGATCTACTCTCTGAAAAATTTTCCTGTTGATTCAAATTTGAAGAGATTGAAACTGGACAAAAAAAATCATCAAAATTTGCTTCTAAAAAATAATAAACAAAAAACTTAGTGTTTACTATTCATTTGGCACAGCCTGTCGGAACAGTACGCGGCCTAGTCTGTTTCGCGTCCGCGCGCGTGGTCAAGCGGCGGCTCAACACGGTGTGCGCGCCTGCTCTCCCGCGCCTAGGCCGCAACTTGGGCCTGGGCCAGGAATTTGCTCGCCCGCATGGGCTGATTCTGGCCCGAGCGATGCCGACCGTTGGATCGCATCGGACGGCCATCCGCGCTCCTTGCGAGATCAAAACACCGCCGCAGCCGTTTCACACAAACCCTACGTCATTTCTCTTCTCCCTCCCTTTCCTCTCCACATTGCGGTGGAAAAGCGAGAGCAACGGAGCGGCGCCGCCGCCGGTCCCCTCTCCGGCGCGCGTGCTCACCCTAGGCTGAGTGCGCCGTCGTCGAGCGGTCTGGGTGACGGTGCCCTATTCCCCTATACGCGCTACGGTGGAGCTCTTCCCTAAACCCTAGCTCCTCCCTTTCTCCTCAGTGCAACAGACGTCGGAGAAGAAGAGTGCGGCGCTGCCATGGGTCCCCTCGCCGGAGCGCGCGCTCCCCAGTGGATGAGCGCGCCGCCATCGAGCAATCTTGTGTCGGTGACCTGAGCCCGCTTGCCGGTGACCTAGCGTCGAGCGGCGGCTCGGCTTGTTCTGCCCGCGCGACGACAGGTTTCTTTCCGCGCGACGGCGGCGGGAAGAACCGGGTAGGTCCTCCCCTTCTCCCTCTTTACTTTCTAGGGTTAGGGTTAGGGTTTCGGATTTGGGGTGTCAATCCGATTCGAATCACCTCCTTCTTAATTTCTATGTGATTTCTACCCCAAAGACTAGATTTACACACTAGGACCATTGCTTTGATACCATTGATAAGATTTATAGGATCATCTAGGCGTAGATCAGTGGGTAAACTTGACTTAGACAATACCTTGCCGATGTACCTCGTCGAGTGCAGTCGCGGCCGTGGCGCTGCCAACAAGGTGGCCGCGACGTGTCGGTGTGGGGGAAGCCGTGCAGGCGCTCGCTAGGTCGTCGACGGTAGCAGCAGCGTAGGCGCGAACTAGTGGCGACGGTGAAGGCGGTGTGGACTTCCCGTCGCTTACAGCGCGTCCTTCTAGATCGGACTAGAGTTAGGAACCTCGGTGGGGCGCTGGCGGCTACGGTGAACCTCGTCCCTTGGACCCCGACCCCTACCTTCCTCTTTATAGCGCTGCGCGACGGGGGCCCATCAACCAAGAGAACGGCTTGGGCGCCCCCGATCAGAACGCGGATGAAGGGCCCAATTGACCGTTGGGCCAACTGGGAGATCGATCTATCACGGCAAACAACAAAACAAAACAAGGGCGGCACAGCGTGATTCAGATATTTGAATTCTAGAAATTGGGGAATTTTAGAATCTACAGCTGCCACAGCCTGTGCCAGTGCCATGCAGCTTACTACAGTACATGCCGCCACACCAGACAATTTGAGATCTCGCGCTGGAGGCTGGACTGACCTCCAGCTCTACTTTTAATCCATTGGCTGGCGCCACGCCTCAATGCACTGCCGCCGCCGCACGCGGACAAGAAAGCACCTCAGGGCGCGCCGCACGTGCCGCCGGCTCAACTTGGCGCACGCACGCATACTACAATACAGCCGGCTACACTACACAACCATGGCATGGCAACCGACATTTGAATCAGCTCTGCGTGGGACTCTGATGCCGACAGGCCAGTGGGAGTCAGGGAACGCGTTGGCAATGGCAGTGGCAGGTGGAGGCAGTGTCGTCGTGTCCGGTGATCAGCGGCGCCGTGCCGTCGGAGGGCGTCGTCTCCTGCCGGCCTCCAAGCGGGGCAGCAGGCTGACGTACTCGAACCAGACCTGGCGGAACACCTTGACGATGCAGTCGTGGTGCTCGTCCGCGTTCAGGGACAGGTAGCACGCCAGCAGCCGCTCCAGCTCCTCCGGCCTTGGAGTTGCGGCGGCGGGCCCGCCGCCGCCCGCGCCCGCGCTCGCGATCATCTCCACCATCGACTCGCGGAACGCGCGCTGCGGGTCCCGCGTCCGCCGCACCACCGCGAGACCCTCCAGCTCCGCCGGCGCCACGGCGGCGGCGGCGCGCCGGGGCGACCGTACGCGCACCCGCAGGGGTGGCATTCTCCCGGAGAAGGACGGCCTCCGACCGCCGCTCACGCTGAGGCGCCGGCTGCTCCGGCGCCGCCGGTGCCGCCTCGCCCCCGCCCCGGCGGCGTCCGTGTCCGACGGTGCCGCGGCGGCTCGCGCGGGGGAGCCGGCGAGGAGGGAGAAGGGGATCAGGCGGCCCAGCGGCGGGAGCTCACGGTCCCCGCCGACGGAGCAGTGGCGGCGGCCGTGCCGGCACGACTTCCGGCGCGCAGCGACGGAGTCGGCCGTGTCGTTGCCGACCGACAGCCGCCGCGGCACGGCGGCGTCGGCCGTGGATCGACGCGGCGGGCTGGACGAGCCTGGCGTGACCGTGGCCGCCGCAGGGGTCGGGCTGGTGCGCTTGGGGAGGAAGGACGACGGGAACGCGGGAGCCGCGGCTGCGGTGTTCTTGGGCGCGGGCGCGCGCTTTGTGGCCGCAACGGGCTTGTCCTTGGCCGCGAGCTTAGCGAACCACGAGAGAGGAGAGAATGAGAACGCCTTGCCCTTGCCCTTGCTCCCTCTCTCCCCTCCATCATCTTCCTCGCACCGCGCAGATGGCGCTGCATGCTGCCTCCAAATGCCCCATCTCATGGCTACAATCTAGTTCGTGCTACAATCACTTGGGCGCAAGAAGCTTTGGTGAGCGCAGTGCATGGGACAGGAGACTAGGGAGGGAGGCGTGTGCGATTTAAAGCTCGTGAATTTTGGCGGTTAGGTGCAGTGCCGGCGTGCCGGTATTGGGACTTGGGCAGGCTCGTTCGAGCTTTCAAACACTCACACTCTCCTCGCAGGACAAAGGCAGACACACAGTGAGTGCTACGGCTAGTAGGAGCAGTACATGACAGAAGGCAGCATCGGAGAATGGAAAACAGTGAAACAAAGGAGAGGAGAGGACAAGCGTGATCTGAAGTTCATGTCTGCACTCTGCTCTGCACGGCAAAGCATGCATGGGTTTTCGAAAGGCCCTGGCGCCTGCCGGCTTCAGGGTTCTCTCTCGGAGTCCGCCGGCGCCGGCCCCCATTCATTAGTCCACAGTCCACCACACCTTTCTGCCTGCGTGCGTCCTTGTACTTTCTGCCGTCCTCTCTGCGTTCAGCCGTTCACCACTGTCGTAGTCCAAGCCTGAGCATGGCAGTGCAGGGGCAGGCAGGGCTTGTACTCGTACTGAGCTGACTGGGAGAGGAGAGGCAAAGGAAGGAGACAAAGCAGGGGGGGCGGTGGAAAGTGGCTTGATGGCTGAAAGCTCGGGACCCGGCTCCAACAGCGGGAGCCGGCGACTGGGGCTGTAGTGCTCGTAGGCTGGTACCATGGCTTGCTTGCTTTTGTGCCAATTGTGCTTGCCTGTCTTCAGCAGTCAGTGTACCGCTGCCTCCTCCAGCTGCTGTTGCTGTTCATCTTTCTTCAGTCGTTTGAACAAAGTCCCCGCCACCTAATGGCTTTCGTCCACTGCACGCCGGAATCACCAGTTGCCAGACTGTGACGCGAGCTTGTTCGACTGGAAAAAACACTTTCATACTAAAAACACTGTTTATGCTGATTTGTCGTGAGAAAAAATCACTGTTCCGGTTGGAAAAACAAGCCGAACAAGACCGACAGCAATCTCTTTTGCATTGAGATGTACTACTACTAGCAATTTAACTTGTACTACTAGCGCTGGGTAAAGCATTGTTGACAGTTTTTTTGGCACAGTAACAGCTTCAGATTTGAACCGAAGTCTAGGTCTTTTTTTCTTTCTTTTGCTTTTGCTACTGCTCCAGGTAGGCGTGCCTGTCCATGATGTCCGGGCTGTACGGCAGGTGAATGCACTGTCATGCTTGATGCTTTTGCCTCGTAGTAGTAGGACACTAGGGACCTGTCATTGGCCTTGCCCTCCATGCTGCTCTGAATGGCTGCCTGAATTAACAATCTGAGCGGCGCTCTTCCTGAGATGGAGCGTGTCCTGTCCTGCACGATGCCGTCCACGATGTCGCGCTGAGAATTGGCCACTTGGGTGCCTTGCTCTGAACTTGCGATGGCTGCTCGTTGATGAGTTCCAAAAGGGTAAGGCCCTTTCCTTCATGTGCTGTTTCGCCACCAGCGAGTGCGAAGAAGAGCCTAGTCTGAATTCTAAGCTGTGTTGCTGTTGCCCAAGGTAGTAGATGTGTCTCATTCTTAAGAGGAAACGGCGCAACCTCTGAATCATTCCTTCACTTCAGGGTAGTCCAAATACTAGAAACTAAATTTAGTTTTTATACCTATTAATTTGCATAGACCGTATAGAAATCATGATCCCAATTGATAAATTCTACAGAATATTTTTTATCTAATCACATACATTCTCTTTCCATTCTCTACTAATAACATCCATTTATGTCTTTGTTCTCGTGTAGACATGGTTTCTAACTTAGACCCGGTTTCTATGATTTTTGCTCTCTCTTCAATAACTACCTTGCCACATCAGAAAACGTTTATGTGGCAGTACAATTAATGTCCATAGAAACTATGATAGTTTCTGCATTGTGAGTGCACTCACGGGCCATTTTCACCATCGGCAGACGGAAAGAGGGCCTTGTCTGAAGAGGTTTTTATCTGTGTGCCATTATAAAAGATGGTCATGGCCTACAGGCCACTAAAAAGTTCAAACGCACCTAGATGCCACTGCGCTAAACTTTTTTGCCTTCCACGCCATTCCGTCAACATCTGCTGCTAACGGTGTCAAATGGAGCTGCAAAAAGTCAGAACTGCCCTCTGGCTAGAGTACCTTGCTAAAAGTTGTGTTTTCCTCCTATGCCACTCCCTGGTCCTGTGGCTTTTGCATTCGTCTGACAATGTCAACTTGGGATTTAATTAGCCGCTAATCTGAAGCGCAAATGACCTTGACCCCTTAATAAAAGTTGTAGAGCTTGGAGAGAATGACAACTTTGTTGCGGGCGGCCCAGACCGAATCGAAGTGAAATATTCCCTCCGTCCCAGAATAGATGACGTTATGGGAAACGTGCAGGTCAAATTTTTCCAACTTTGACTAGGTTTGTAGAAAATGTGTGCAACATTTATACCTTCAAATAAGTTTATTATGAAAGTATATTCAACGATCTATCTAATGATACTAATTATGTATTATAAATATCAATATTGTTTTATATATAATTGGTCAAAGTTGAAAAAGTTGCCTTCTCGGCAAACGAGAACGTCTTCTATTTTAGGACGGAGGGAGTATACCACAAATGAGATTCTAAGGTGCCTATCCGGTCTCAGTATGGTGCTTAGACCTCCGCCTTTCCCCGCCTTCAATCAGTCGGTCCGGAAAGAGCCAGAACCCACGATAAGAGCATAACGAGCCTTTCCGCTGCTATAAGCAAGTATGTGCTCAGGATAATAAGTATGTGACCTGACTACCATCCACATCAACAGGCGATCCTCAATCGACATAGGCAGAACAAGTGCAATTCGAGCCTCGCTCGAATGCCTAACCAAGTCCAGATCCAAATTACCATTCCGCCCGGTCTCCAATTATCCTTCATATATATTCCATGTGATAGTAATATAATAACAACAATAATATCTTTCCTACCTCTCGCGAGTGACAGGTAATCACTCGACTTCTACCAGATCCTATAGCATAGCAATCTACACGATCCTGACATACTAGTAGGACTCATAGTGTAACACCCCAGGTGTTTGGCCTCCATATTTGCACTGCATTTCATGAACATGAGCATCATGCATCCATTCGTGAACTTATATCACATGAAACATGATTTCGAAACATTGCAACATGTTGTATATTTCATGTGTGTTGTTTCTTTTATGAAATGTAAAGTGTGCAACACTCAAGTGCAACATGTGTAACTCACTTTAGTGAAACATGGTTAGTAGTACTATGCAACACACTCATGAAACATGTGAAACATGACTATGAAACAAGTGTAACAATTCCTGTGTTTTTCATTTGTTTCAGTACATACCATGCTTGATTCTTGTGTGACCAATGTGGGGTGTGGCTAATTATTCTCCTAAGAACCCTAGTTATACTTAGAATGTCATTTGGAACATTGTTCATGTTGATCATTTTGCCTAATTAGGTTTCCAAGTCATGGTTTGACCAATTTAGACCCCTAGAGCTCCTGAGTTTGACTGTTAAAAAAGTGTAGCTTAGGATGTTTGCATGTCTAAGCAACCTAAAACAAAGTTGTAGCAAATTTTATAAGGAACAAACTTTGTTTAGAAGCCAAGTCATGAAAATGTGCACAACATGTTCAAAAAGGACCCACAAGTCATCATTGATGGTGGATTCAACATTTGAAAAATTTTCTAAGTGTTGGAACTGCTTTTTAGTTTCATGTACCCAACTTATGCACCTTGTAGCACCCAAACAAAGCCAAACCAGCTCGAGCTCCAATTATAAAAGTTGTAGTTCACATGTAGATGTTCAACTTTGTCAATTACACCTTGAGCTATATCATCACGGTTTAGGAGTGAATCGGTGTCAAAATTCGCATGTTAGCCGGACTCGATGAACACTGAAACGAAATGTTCAGATCGGTCATGGCCGACCGGCAACAGAGGTCGTCCGCCGCGTGGCGCCACGCGTCGCCGTTGCGCTGCTCGCTCAGGCGACATCGTGTCTCGGCGCTCCACATCATGCCCGCGCTCACCCCGGCTGCGACCCTGCTCCATTCGCTCCACCCGCACGCGTCTGAGCCGCTGAGAAGCCACCGCCGTCGCCTGTTGCTCCGCTGAGGTCACGCGCGCTCGCCACCGCGTCTCGCCCAGCACCATCTCGCTCAGTGCTCCGCTAGCATCCCACGAATCTCATCTACGTCTTCTCTGAGTCGTACGAACCCTAGGTAAGCAGCATTGCCGGCTCCGCGCACCGCCGCGCCATGGCCGCCATGGCCGCGCCGGTGACCTCACCGTGGCCAGCACAGCACCGTTCCCCTCCTCCTTTCTTAGCTCTCGCTTAGTCTTCTCCATCACGTGTAGATGCTCGGATGTAGATGCTATCACCAATGCCGGTCCAGCAACGCCAGGACACGGCCGAGCGCCACCATGCGCCATGGCCGAGCCGCCGAGCTCCGTGGCCGGAGTACTTAAGGACCGCTAGAGCTTAGGATTTGTAGATCAATCGACGCGGGGTAGCTTAGGGAGCACGCCGGTGCCGTTAGTTTCGCCGGAGGAGCCGCCGTCGGCAAGCTTCGCCATGTGCCGAGCCGTCATCGTTGTCTCCCCTGTTTTCCTCTCGCTGACCTGTGGGGTCGTCTGACCCGAGGGCCCCGCTTGTCAGTGACTGAGTTTGAGAAGATAGTTCAAAAATTCCAGTTTTAGTGCTGTTTTGTAAATTTTGTAACTCCAAATTGGTAAATCCAAATTGAGTACTTACAATTTTGTTAGACTCTCAGTGAGGTCTAGTATTTAAGAAAAATATGACATGAACACTTATAGTGGAAAATTTGGATGAATTAAATAGGAACTTGAAAAGTGTTTTTGAATGCATGCAAACTTGTTTAAATCATATCTGTAGTTTCTGTGATCCAAAAATTATGAAATTTTGTGGGTAAGCTAGTCTTGTATAGTATAAGCTCTGGTTAAAATTTGAGAGTCATTACATGTGT